GTGATTCACACCAGGCAAAGAGCCTGTTCCATCCTCCCCAGCTACTACACTTGATGCACTGTGGTCACCTGGGATCCAACACTGTCATCATTTTCCTAATGTCTTCCAACAGCTGAAAGCTACAACAGAACCAGCCCTGCCCTGGCTGTGCCCACTTGGAGCAGTGCAGCCCACCAGAGTCCAGCATCACCTTGGTGATGTTCTAGGAAGGCTCTTGCTTCTCATGCCCTGTCTGCCCATCAGCCCCAGTCACACCATCCTCAGCTGCACTGGGAAATGGAAAGGGTGAGTGCTGCTCCGTGTTCCTTTGGAGCATTGGAGCAAGTGGAGTGAAGGAGAACTGACAGCAATGCCAGCGCTGCAGCTGTTTAGTGACTTCTCTCTTTATCCATGCCCTGTTTCTTCCATCCATCCCCAGCTCTGCTCTTGCTCTTCACTCTCTCCATCTCCTCCTTCTCCTTCCCTTCCTCCTATAGTGACACATGGAGAAGATACAAAACTGATATCTACAAATCCTGAGCTTCTCATGGCTCATCCCAAAAGGGTTTCCCTAGTTTCTTCTCAGACATCACACACTTCCAGGACAACGCTGAGGCTCATACAAACAACACACAATGATACATGGTGAGACACTGGCACAGGTTGCCCAGGGATGTGGTGGTTACCCTGACCCTGGTGGTGGTCAAGGCCAGGCTGGATGAGGCCTTGAGCAACCTGATCTCATGAGGAGGGGTCCCTGTCCATGACAGGGGGTTGGGACTAGATGATCTCTAAGGTCCATTCCAACCCTTAAATTCTAATTCTATGATACCAAGAGACACAAAGCAGGAGCAAAAGTCTGCAGGTTCAGAGACACACTCTTAGTAGAGGCACAAACTTTGCTCTACCTGCCTTAGCCCAGAGCTCTGTTGCTTTCACAGACCATATGGCAGTACCTGATGGCTTCTTGCCTATTTGGTGTTTATACAGGCACACAGATGGAAAGGGTTGATCAGTGGAGGAGCAGGGACTCATGAGCAGTTTGAGTGAAGGGAAGCTTCAGGCAACACTGCAAACAAGACAGTACTCCGACACAGTCCCCCAGACGTGCACTAATAAATCACATTTTACAGCCTACAGCACATAAACCCAGCGAGCACGCACGGAGACCCAGCGAGCATACACACACTTGTGAACGCTCTCGCCTCTCCCCTGTGACCAGCTGCAATTTCTTACCCATCTCCCATGATTTTCTAAAAGGATTTGCCACAAATGGGGCTGGAGCTTTGCAAGGGATGAGCCAAACCCAAATGAGACTTGTGCCCCCACCACCTGGGATGGTTGAAACCTGCTGTACCATTGGTGGCAAACAGGGCTGCTGTTTGTACTGCCCCAGGGGGCTGCACCCGTGGAAGAGGGATGGGGTGGTGTAGTGGTTTAACCTCAGCCAGCAGCCAAGAACCACGCAGCTACTTACACTCCCTCCTCCCCGAACCCAGAGGAATGGGGAGGAGAACAACTGGAGTAAAATATGTGGGTTGAGATAAGGACAGTTTAATAACAATACAGAGCAGAATGATCTACAATGCCAATAGATAATGAAAAGAAACCAGAATGCACAATACAATTGCTCGCCACCCGCGGACCAATGCAACCCCGAACCTCCCCAGGATCGGCCCCTTCCGGCCTGGAACACCGGGCATGACGTGCCATGGTGGGGAATATCCCTTTGGCTAGTTCAAGTCACCTGTCCCGGCTATGCTCCCTCCCAATTTCCTGTGTATCTTCTCACTGGCAGAGCATGAGACACAGGCAAGAAAATGTCCTTGGTTATGATAAACACAATCCAGCAAAACCAAAACAACAATGTGTTATCACTTCTGAGTTCAAAACACTGCACTACACTAGCTACTGAGAAAATTAACCCCATCCTGGCTAAAACCAGGACAGGTGGGCAGTGAATGCAGTGGCACTGCCCCACCATATGCTCTTGTGCCCCATGTAGCATGGAAAGAGCAATCACTGTGAAATTCGGCATCACAGTTACTCCTCAGAACTCCATCACGGCTCAGACAAGTTGTATAATGATGGTGCCAGAGATGGGAGCTGCTGTGGTGGTAGGGTACAGACATTATGTTGGAGCTTCATCCTGAATTCAGTGTTGGAGCTAGAAACTGGGGAGCCTCCCTTTCCCAGCCACAAGCTCGAGTCCCCCAGGTGGCAAAGCAAAGATGACACTTCCACATGAACACTCCCAGGCCTCCACCCATGAGCCTTGGAGAAGCCAAGTTTTCCAAAAGTCCCAGTTTCACATAATGCCTAAGCCTGCTTGCTGTGCAATGCCATGAGCAGGGCAGGGATGCTGCTGGCCAAAGCAGGACAGTTACTCCAGCAGCTTCCCAAGCCACGGGCAGGACCAGGTGCTGCACCACGCCAGCACATCCAGCCAAGCACCCATCCTCACCCAGCTGTGCTGCTGTATTAAACTTAGTTGAACAAATCAGTCTTGCTGGGAGAATGGGGAGCAGAGCAGTAATTCATCTGTCTCCTCCCCACCGGAGGCGTCTCAGAAGACTGCTGCATGTTCTACCCCAACTTATTATCCTTTCACTCCTGGGAGGCAACTTTCCAACAGGCAGAACATGTTTTCCCTTGTCGCTCTTCAGCATCGCTTCTCGCCTCACCTGTGTTTTGCTAAGATAGAGGGTTTATTGTAAACTTATTAATTACTTCATTTCTCCTGCAAGGAGCCAAGAGAAAAATTTTCAGAGGCAGCCAGGATCTGCTATTGTGTTGGCGGAGGAGCTGAATGCGGCTGACGTCATGATTCATTTTCCCCATGACTGAGGAAAGCGACTCTCCGTGCCACGTCGCGCATATGAATCAGGCAGCGCTCCCCTGGCACAGCCTGCCCTGCAATTCATCTTCCACCAGGACTTCTTCAAACAGAAGAGAAAACGCCAAACTTTTGCTATTGCACTTCCCTGCAAACCCTGCAGAGAGGAGGGTTGGGGAGATAGGGGCTGCAGCCTCCCCAGAGCTCACGCTTGTCCCTCCACCTCTGATCAGGTGGGTCTATAGCAGCTGCTTTCCATGCCTGTAGACACATCAACAGGTCTTGGAGTGACTCTGGCAAGCATGGGCAACCCTGCAGCATCTCCAAGGTTCCTGCAACCCTCTCCCAGCTTAGGAATTATGTTCCTGCGGATATCAACAGGAAATCAATACACACAGAAGTTAATAGCACACTGATCTGGTTTACAGCAGTGGGGGTTTGAACTAGGTGACCTTTGAGGTCCTTTCCAACCCAAACCATTCCATGATTCTACCATTCTGTGAATGAGACTTGCCTGGAAAAACTGAGATAATGATGTCCTCCCTTCTCAAAGCACCACCACCATCAGTCCATTGATGGATGAATCATTATCATCCTCTACATGTGGGAGAGCACAGCAAGGGCACAGCGTGTATCCTAAATAAAGGAGTCATACACACAGTTTGGGAAGTGACACTTTATTCGTACGAAGAAGAGCTATATCCATTGTAACATAAAATGTCAGACTTTAGGGGTTCCATCCTCCAGGGAAGAGAGAAGGGAGGAAGACCCCCAGGAAGGTGAGCAGGTACCCACAGGCTGGTGACAGGCAGGATGCGCCCCCAGCCATGAGCATGCCCCAGATTGCTCCCTCCCACCTTCTACAGTCCTGAGATAACTCAAGAGCTCAAAAGTCTCAGTGAAAAACCAAAAGCATGCCAATGTCATCTGAGCACACCACACAACACAGAAGTGTCAATGCAGGTACAGGGTCTTCAAATGACCATTTATGCTTGCTGCTGAGTGATGGTTGACTCAGGGAAGTGATATCTTTAAAACAGTTTCAACCCTGCTGAGTGATGAGCTGTTTGCAAGAGCAGGAAGCAACCACAAAGCACCTGCTGCTGATGACATCTTTCCCCAGGTCCCTGTCCTCAGGGAACATGCACTTGGCTCCCATTAGGAGAGGACAACCATGGGGCAGGAAGCACCAGCCTCACACAGGCTCATCTCTGCTGGGCCCAGATTTGAGGGATCCCTTTGGGAAAAGCTGTGAATGGTGATGCTGTGGCTCCTCAATCTAACAGTTCTTACCATGTTCCCAGAGAGATGCTGAAAGTCTGGGTAGTGATGAACAAATTGCCCAGTTTAAAGGCAGGGATTGGGTCTTGGCCCAGGAGAGCCCTGGGATGGAGCTAGACTTGCCCTCCCACAGGAGAAAGATTATACTTTCAGAGGAATTGGCTGGATTTGTGAATCAGCATGAAAGAAGGGGCAAGAAGGAGTTCCCTGCAAGACAGAAGCAACCCAATACCACAAGTTAAGGGTGGGAGATGAGAATTTTTCCTTGCTACCTCAGCTGTCCTGCCCAGGAGTGCTCCACCCTGGCTGGTGGCAGGGCCGCTAAGCGATGGACTGGCGGCTGAAGAGGTCGAGGGTGAGGGCGCTGAGGAAGGCTGGGATGCTGTCCTGGCGGAGCAGGTGGAGCTCGATCAGTTCCCCGATGGTCCGTGAGAACTCAGTTTCCAGAAGCTGCATTTTTCCACCAGAGGTGCTGGAGGTCTAAGGGGAGAGAAGCACAAGCCCATTAATACCACAAGGTTTTAATTCACCTCCAGGGTGAACTCTTCTCCAGGGAAGAGTTAACAGCATCTCCCTAAAGCCTCCTTTGGCATGGCCTGTCAACGAGGACGTGCTGTCTGTTTGGCACACCCTGTAACTGGGCTGTTGCTGAGTCCTGCATTCCAATGTCCCCAAACAGGACCCCTGTGTGAGCCTTCCCTGGTGACAGATGTAGCCATGGGGAGAGGAGGGGTTGAACCACCCTGAAAAGAGACTCTGCTGCCAGTGCAGAACCACATCGGGGTCACTGTCACCACCACCACCCAGGTCTCGGGTGACAGGAGCAATGCACCAGGGCTTTCTCTCCATGAAAACACTTATCCCTGAAGGACAAAGCAGACCTGCTCCTAATTAACATGACTCCTTCCCCAAGAGCTGCTGATCCATCCTGCATCCCTGAAGTGTTTCTGGATGTTTAAATTAGTCTGGCAGCGCACAGCCAAAACCTCCAGAGGAATAATTCCAGAGATGCTCTCATGAAAATAAGGAAACTCAACATGTGGGAAGACATTACAAATCTCCTGTAACATATAAAACAAGCAGAAAAAAAGCTAAATGCAAGAGACATAAGGAATGCTTGAAACCTCTCCTGCCCCAGGAGGCACGAAAGCGGCTTGTTTATTAATAAACGGTGCAAATGCTAATTTTTTTCCCCTGTCATTTTCCTCTGCAAAATGCTCCTGCTTCTAATTGCTCCACAGCTCTGCTTCCCATTGGAGCCAAGGTGGGACAGCACAGGCAGTGCCAGGCACAGCTGGCACACCCCCAGGTGCAGGGCAGCCCCTCACCCCAGTCAAAGCATGCCAAGAGCCAGAGCAGAGGATTGCCATGTGAAGGGAAAACATGACTTCACCTGCCAGGAGAGAAGGGAAGCCCTAACCACTGAGAACCCCAGGGAATCCACTTCTTTCTGATTTCATGTCCTCAGGAGCCTGAATACATTTGATTATGAACTTTTCATACTTGGGTCATGTTGGATTGTGAGGAGCGCAAGGTACCGAGGATACCCCCGAGCCAGACAGGGAATCAAAACAAGGTTTCCACATGGAAAAGTAAATTAGCTTTTGTTTAAACCTCCTTCATTTTGGTTGGGTTGTTTTTCAGCAACTCCAAAGGATGTGCAGTGCTTTGATCTGCTGCTTACTGGAGCTACCTGATGCTTCCTGCACACCTGAGGTACCACTGAGCAGATGAAAGAGGCCAAGAGGGAAGCAGGCAGTGATGCGGATGAAGGAGCCAGCTGGAAGCACTGGGAGGGATGTACATCCCCAGGCCATGTAAAGCCAGAGGTGCAGTGCAAAGCTGTAGTAGAGCAAGGAGTGATCACTGGGTGATGTGACAGCAGCACAGGTTTTGTTCTGCTAATCCCCCTGGATTCAGCTGATGGGAAGTGCTGGTTTAGGAGGAAGGTCCAAGTATTATGAATGCACCACTTATGTCTCTTAGAGGCACAAGTCAGTGCTGAACTGGAGTCATCCAACATGGGAATTCAAGCTCTGTGTGCAATACGCTGTCTCCTTCGCAGATTTAAAACACTCTTTGGGCACAGAATTAATTTTCTAAGAATTTACAAGCAAATCCATTAATTGGTTTGCTAGTTTAATTAGTTAAAGCAAGTTCCTCAAGAAATTTAGCAGCCAGTGCCAGACCATTTGTTTGTGTTTTATGACCTCGGAAACAGAGTAACATAAATGTTTTAAATTTCCTCTCCTTTGAGCTCACTGGTGTCGTGGCTGAAGGCTATATTTGAATATTTTCTTTTTTTATGAGATTAATGGTAATTTTTCTCTACTATTCTTCATAACCAAAGCTTCCTCCTGCAGCAGAGCAGAAGAATAATGTTCAGAGAAAGTTATGTGAGCAAATACATGCTTCAGAAAAGATTGCTATTTCCCATTCAATGGGGTGGTGCTTTCTGTTGGCTGCTAAAGGAGGCACCATCCTTCTCCTCATGGCTCCCCCAGGAACTCCAAAAAATCTCAGAAACCCAAAAAGCTTCCAAACCCCAGATCTCACCCAGGTTTCTTATGATCACTTCTGTTAACAGGCACAAGGTGAGAAGGCAACGGTGTGGAAAAAAGGCAATTCTTCCTCTGCTGGGAGATGTTTACATATGAACTTAGAGGACGGATGTACTTGCAGTGCAGCTCATTCAATCTCACACTGCTTTTAAAAAAATTGAGAAACTTTTCCTTTTTCCCTGGGAGTGTTTTAAAATTGCTGTCATTGTTACTTTTCTTATTATTTGTTTTTATTGCTTCTTTTTCCCTTCCCCATCTGTTCATAAT